ATGGGTAGCACCTAAATCAAACAAAACTCGTAGAGGTATATCGAAGATAAAACACACACCTTGCACTAAATTCTCGACCTCGATGCCTCTGCTCTCGACAAGGCAAACACCAGATCCTGCGGCTCCGGGTTTCGCATCACTCCCCACAGGTGCTAATGATGCCCCAGTTGAGACTATAACATTGAGCTTCTGTGGACAGTCTCTAGCCATATGTCCTGACTTCTGGCAAGTGTAGCAAAGACCTGCCCGAGAAGTCTGAGAAGGATTAGTGAAGGCATTTTGTGGGCACTGATTCCTGTAATGAAGGCCTCCACATTGAAAACATTTTACTCCGGATACAGATCCCGATGATCGAGGTGCTGGGATAACACTGCCACTCCTGGAGGACTGAGGGCGTGAATAAGGCATCCTCCTCTCTGATCTACTACTCCCACTTGGGACCCCACTTGGGTGGGTCCTCATCACTCTGACTCCTCCCTCCTGGAGTCTCTCTATTGTCTTTGCTTTCTCCACCAGCTCTGGGAATCTCCTGATAGAGAAAGGAACCACCATGAGCTTGATCTCAGCCTTCAAGCTTTCCTCAAACTTCCTACAAAGCCAGTGTTCTGAAGATGTACCTGTGTAGAAACGAGATAAGTGCTCAAATCGTACGGCATAATCATGCACCGTCATATTACTCGTCTCGAGACTCGGGAACTTAGTCTCCTTCGAAATCTAACACTCGTCGGGAAGTATTTCTCCAAAAACCTATCACGGAAGGTTTCCCAATTACACACCTCCCCACGTGCAATCATCATCCTTTGAGTCCCTAACCACCAGAACTCAGCCTCATCCATTAGTAAGTATTTTCCGAATGTCAATTTCCTGTCTTCCGGGCATAAGGTAGCCTCAAAAATCTTCTCCACTTCACGCAACCACTTCTCTGCTGCATCTGGACCCAAATCTCCTCCAAAACGAGGCGGATTATGCCTCATGAGCTCAGTCAGTCCCATCTGCTCTGATTGGTGAAATCCAGCAGAGGATGATGCCATATTTGGCCTCCACTGTGGGTAGGTAGCTTGCTGCTGCATGGCAGCTGCCAACATTTCCATTGCCCTGGCTAGGGCATCTACACTCGGTAGAGTAGGAGTAGGAGTAGGAGGTCGCGGTGCCATCCTATATCAAATGCAACCATCAATACAGAGCAAACATTCACACACACTCACATATCAGAGTATAATCACAACGGACTTATCATAGGATCACTACCCATCCCCACAGATTTACAAGGATACTACCGCTCTGATACCACTATTGTAACGACCCTAGAAATCGCTACTATAATGATGTCTTCGCAAAGTAGTAAACAAGTAAATAACAACATCTATTTTACATTATATTACTGTAATTGTAACATATATTGAAATTCCAGTTCACTAACGGAACTTCAAAATATAGTAACATAATTTATTTATATATTATATATGTAAAAGTAGCTCCCTCGAAGCTATCCCATTGAACTATCCCTACTTGTCCAGTAGTCACATCACCATCTCTCAACTCCGATCTGCTCCCACATAAAAGTGATCATCGCAGTCCCATCCACATGAAAAAATAGGGGTAAGTATTAAATCATTTGATATAATAAAACAGATATAGAAGTAATAATTATATATTATGATCAATTACGAAATTATCAACACACTAAGACACCTTCCGGAAGTATACCCTAACTATGCCCGAACTCAGAGGCTATTATCTGTGGGCACATTGTGATCGGTACCCGCAATACCATTCTGACCACCCTCCACAAAGAGTAGGATTACTGGCGCCCTTCATCACTCATACTGGAGTACCCCTTCGAGCGCGCCACCAGTCATCCCTCCATCGACTTCTCACCACTTGATCTCGTAGTCTACCTGACCCGACCAATTAGTGAAGTCTGGGACCTCATTCAGAATCCTCCGACATAGTTATTACACTAATGTACTCTGTACCACCTCGGGTACCATTCAAACATAACAAAATTTATTCACATTTGCCGGATTCTGGATCACCTGTCCTCACGGCTCATTCGGGTCAATAAAAATAGTATTTGACTGATTTTGGCACCAACCCTCCGGCTCAGTCTATCCAATATATAACGTCTCAGGACTGATTCTGGGCATCAGCCCTCAGGCTCAGTCTGACTCACACACGTCACAACACACTACTTTCATTCTCTCTCTCTCTCTTTATATATATATTTTTCTAAAATCATTTCCGAAACTATTTCCGAAACTATTTCCGAAACTATTTTCGAAATCACTTTCGAAATCATTAAATTACTATTTTGCCCTTAATCTTTTCTTAAAATTCCATGTATGTCCCTAAATGACTATTTTACCCTTGGTCATTTTTGAAAATTCTTTCCATGTCCCGAAAATGACTATTTTGCCCTTGGACATTTTCAAAAATTCCTTTCATGTCCCAAAAATGACTATTTTACCCTTGAACAATTTAAAAAATTCCATTTATGTCCCTAGGATGTAAAATGACTATTTTGCCCTTAAACATTTTCAAAAATTACATTTATGTCCCTAGGATGTAAAATGACTATTTTACCCTTGATCTTTTAAAAAAATCCCCACCATATCCCTTTCTTCTTCCTTCGCCCAGTAACAGTGTCAAAATTTGCAGATTTTGGCAGATTTCAAATTACTCGGTTTCAGACAACCAAACTAGTCCCAAATCGAAATTAAATATGAATTATATCTAATTTAAGTTGAAAACAATAATTTTACCATATAATTCATCCTTAATTTCAAGAATTTAATCAATATTTAAAACTTTGCAAAATATGAATAGTAATCACCTCTAGTACGCCATTTTCAAAATCCAGGTTTCAAATTTCTCGGTTTCAATCACCCAAATTAGTTCCAAATCAAATTTAAACCATAAACATGTTCAATTTAAGTTAAAAACAATAATTTTATTATATAATTCATCCTTAATTTCAAGAATTTCAAAAACTTTCAAACGGTGAACAGTTCGTCAGAATCAGAAATTCTTCAAAATCAGACATTCAAATAATTCATATCTCTACTCATATTCCTTATTCACACAATATTCACAGAGTACCCAACAATTCAATTTCATATATTGAATGAATTAAACTTCCCCTTACCTGGTATGGTATTTCTACCGAAGTTTTCCCACTTAATTCAAGCTCTCTCCCGTTTCACCAGATCCTGCACGAGTAGAGTCTCGTTGCTTGAAATTTAGACAATAGAAGAAGAAGGATGAGTGGAAAATTTTGATTCTCCTCCTCCCCCGCTTCAGTATGCATATATAAGAAAAAAATTTACTGTGCATGGGGAAAACTTCGTTACGAAGTTTTCTTGCACAATAATATTAATATAATATTAAAATAAGGCATACGTCACAGGTGCCGATCACAATGTGCCTACAGATGATAGCCTCTGAGTTCGGACATAGTTATGGTAGACTTCCGGAAGACGTCTTAATGTATTGATGATAATATGTAATTATTACTTTTATATCTGTTTTATTATATTTACTGATTTAATACTTACCCCTATTTTTTCATGTGGATGAGACTGCGATAATCACTTTTACGTGAGAACAGATTAGGAGTTGAGAGGTGGAGATGCGATTACTGGACAATAGGGATAGTTCACTGGGTAACTTTGTGAGAGCTACTTTTGCATGTATCTATATAAATAAATTATGTTACTATGTTTTGAGATTCCGCCAATAAACCAAGATTTCAGTATATATTACAATTACAATCATATAATGTAATATAAATGTTGTTATTTACTTATTTATTATTTTTCTACAATATCACTGTAGTTGTTACATACATGCTTTATCATTGTTTAATATCTTATTGAAAAAATATATTTGGTATTCAAAACTTTTGGTCAAATGTATGTTACTATTAATACATTCACTACAATTATTTTATTAAGATATGTTTGTTCTACTCTTTATAAATCAAATTTTTACGATAGTAAATAATGTTGTGAGGAGAATATAGAGTAAAATGTGAAAAAATAAAAAAATAAAAGATAGATTTTATTTTATAAAATTATTTTTATTTAAATAAATAATTAATTATTTTAATGTTTATAATTATTTTCATATTTATTTTTAATTATGATTTTAATAAAATATAGCATAAAATAAATGAATAATTTAATATATTTATTTATGATATGATATTATTTTATTAATTTAATTTTAAATAATTTTATAATAACTTTTTTATAATTATATTTCAAATTATATAATATTAAAAAAAATATATATAATTTAAAGTAATATTTGAAAAAATTATTTTATTAATAAAAATAATTAATAATTATATATATAAATTTGTAATTTAAAGAAATATTTAATTTCATTTTAATTATTCATTATTTTTTAAAATAAATATTTTTCTTTATGTATTTTTATCTTAAACAAATAATATTTTATATTCTATTGCGTCACTTTTTTTCACATTTTACCGAATATTATTAATTTAGTTCAATTCACTTGGATTTTTATTTAATAATAGATTGAATAATATTACGGTATGATATCAATAAATTAGTTTTAGTAAAAATTTTCAGTTATAATATTATATAATAAAAATATCAATTATATTTAATCTTGTATGTCAATGATTCAAAAATAACAAATATATAAATACATATTTAATTATCATTTAAGGGAGCGAAATTTCGTAAAGTTAGGATTTATTTGAATGGTGTTGTACGTTTTTTTAAAAGTTATTCCATAAATTGCTAAATAAAAAAACATAAATCTAATTAATGATAATTTAAAAAATTAACTTTCAAGAGAAAGATAACGTGCGGTGAGGGTTTACAGTCATTGAAATCCCTCCCTCGTATAAAGGCTTTACCTTTACCTTCATCTTTACCTTTACCAGAGATTTCATAACTGTCATTCTGTGACTTCACTATCACGCCACCACCTTCTTCTGTGCCGGTTTTTGTTCTGAGATCGATCTTATGCAGGTTGGCTTGGGACTGATCTCCCCCATTGCTCCCAACATTTTTCTCCGCACAGCATGGTAGGTGTTTCTTTTCAATCGTATTTTTCTTTTAAATTCTTTAAATTTTACTAAAAACATATTTTTCATACTCAACAACACCCATAGTGGGTTATTTGTTACAGTTGTTCTATAGGGCTTGCACTTCCCGTATATTCCACGTTTAAAGCTATTGAGGACAATGATCCATATCAGCAACAGAGATGGCTATTGTATTGGGCAGGTTCTAATTATTCTGCAACCTACAATTCCTTGTTAAAGATAATTAAATTGATTAATTTATATATTTTTTGTTAGTATTGTTTTTTTATTAATGTGATTGTATAAGTCTATTAGTGATACATGCTACATTGCGGCCTTAATGATGTGTTGAACATGGATATTGAGGTCACGGGTTAAGACCTAAGAGACTGTTCTGGTGTATTTTGATTTGATTTTACCTTGTACAACTTATGAAAATTTTGGTATCATATTATGAAGTTATATATCGTTGAAAACGTTTGGGTCATTGTTTGTGAATTTGGATGAACACGTTTGAGGGATTCTCGAGTTAGTGGGTTAAGAAGAGTAACTAACTCCCTGTTATTTCTGCTTTTTCATAATCTGGGCTTGTTAATTTTATTGTGCTTTAATAATTATTTAATTCGATGAGTTCATTCTGTTGATGGACTTGTCCCATGCTTGTGTATTAAATTAACACTGATATTTCTCGTGTTTTTCAGCTTATGGATCTTTTAGCGCTGTAGAAATGTTTACCGAGAAATTATTTTCTTGGTATGAACGAGTTCTCCATGGGTTTTATTGTTGTTAATTAACTGTTTTGGATTTTCATGGAAACTTACTAAGGTTTCTGTTTCGCATTTTCATTGCAAACAAAGTTATGCCTATATTCTATTCATTTATCTTGTGATCCAGTTGCCTGCTATTTATGATATTCTCAATGACAGAACCAATAACGACAAATATTTGATTTGTTTGTTTGCTTTCCCGTTTTTCTTGAGGTATTATGATCTAACAAGGTTTGTTTGCCATTTTAATTAGGATTCCGTTCTATTATCATGTAAAGTTTGCATTTCTTCTTTGGCTACAACTTCCCACTCTCAATGTAAGATTAACCAAACTGTTCAATTCATTCACTTCCTGCTATGCTTTCTGAATTTGCTCCGTTAATTAACTTATCTTGCTTGCTTTGTTCTTGTATTCTAAGTTTTAATTCTTGAGGGATTTTTTTTTTTTTGTTCTTTTACTCCTTTCTCACTTGTCCTCCATCAAACATAAATAAGCAAAACCATATGATACTTGTTGAACAGGGTGCGATGCAATTATATTCTAGTCACTTGCGTCCATTCCTGTTGAAGCATCAAGCTAAAATGGATGTGATTGTCGAATTTGTGTATGGGGTAATGGTAAGAAGTTGATTATAGATTTCATTATTGCTGAAAATACATTTTTATTTTGTTTGATTTTCAATTGTGGGTTGTCATTTGGCATTTAGAGCAGAGGGTCCTTATAATGCCTTTTAATTTATTGTTATTGTCCATGGTAATTTGGTTAGGTACTATTTGTGTGCAGCGATTGGGTGCTTCTACCAAATTTGTCCATGGCATTTGGAAATCTTCCCCATTGTTCATGTTGCAAAATATGCCCTGTGCAAAAGCAAAAATAAAAGTATAGAAGAAGAATAACATGATGCAATGTTAAACTAAAAACACCTTCTCAATGTAACCGGTAAAAGAACTGCACTATGAAAGTAGGAATATGAGTAGTCTCTCGTTCTCCAGAGGATCTCTCCAAAAAATCTCACTCCAATGATATCTAACTTCTCACCAAGTTTGGTGGAAACACAACTCTCTTTCTCTTAAAGAGGATTCTTAACCGGATAGAATATAATGAAATGCTGTCCCTATTTATAGTAGATGAAAAAACCCTTCATTCATGAATATACATGATTCTTCATGAAGAGCTGACTCTTTATAAAAAGACGTCTCTTCTTCAGGAGATGTGACTTTTCATGAAAAAATGCCTCATCATTTAAGGGAGGATTTCCAACATGCACTCTAAAACATATAAATTCTGATCTTGCAGGGTAAACTTATTAAGGATCATCAAACTGAATTGCAGCTTGCAAGAAATCTAGCAGTGAAGTTTTTAATGACAGGTATGCGCACATATGAGCTCCCTAGCTTTATATCTGCCGCCATAAAACTTTCCTTTTCAATTCCAATCTGTTGTTCCAAAAGAAAAATAATTCAACGGATTATTGGTGCTAGTTTTAAACCATTTATCTTCGCAATTCTTTGTTATGGGTACATTATTATATTTAGTAGGTATATAATATGATGTCATTAGAATCCTGGGAACTTAATCTATCTGGGTATTACCAGATATAGTTGTGTAGATAATTATTTAAAATATGTAATTTCACTTGACTTTTTTATTCTATGCCAATTAGCTTTTATTTACTGCGGACGTAATATGTGAGCTTATGGTTTCTTATGTCATCTCAGGGATTGTTTTTTCTCAATTGTGAAATACTTTAGTTTGTTATTGATTTTTCAGCTAAGAAATCTGTATAGTCATTTGGTTATTTTCTGTATCAGCAACTCAGATGATTAAGAATCTCATTCATCCAGTTGGGAGGGAGTCTAATCGCATTGAACCCGAGAAGAGGCAGCTTCAGGATTCAGAATCAGAAGATTAATACATTTTTCTTACCATTATTGGACAAAAATTGGTTGGCTAGTTCTTAGCACGAATGTTATGATTTGCATGTGGTGCTACTGACTTTTGCATTATTAGTTCTGGGGAAATAAAAAGAAGTTTTATTTATGTTCTTGATCTTAGAAGTTGTATTGGGAGTACTATACATAGTTAGGATCACGTTTATGCTTACTGACCTGGAAGCATCCAACAACCATATAATTATAATTTATGCATTTTATGCTTTTGAGTCTCGACAAAAGATCTTGTGAAGGTTGAGGATTCATTATTCATCTATTAGTGTATGAAGGTTGTGTTAGGTTTTTGAGGGTGATTCACAGGAAAAAGACATATCAATGAAATTATTTTTCATAAAAATATCTTTAAAGCATTCTTTCTTCTTTATATATCAATTCTTTCATTTTTACTACTTAAACTCAAAATTTTCAACTATTTAGCTACATGTTTTGATAGCTATATATAATCAATTTCTCTTCCCATTGCCTATATTCTAATGTATATTCTAACGTATAATAAATAATGTGATATAGATTAATTTACGCATTTATCTAATTATATTTAGTAGCCAAATTATTATTTTTGTCAAAATTAGTGTAATTGTATTAACTTAAAAATATTACGAGGAATTACAATGAATATTAAGGTTAAGGCTAAAAACAGGGTTGATGACACAATGTAATTGAGGTTTGATTATTTTGCTACTTCTAAGATAATCTTAACCTATTCTTCAAATTTATTTATTGTTACAGTTGATATCAAATCTTCTTAAAATCTTATGTTTTATCTTTGTCGAATTTTAAGCTTTTTATTTGATTTCAATTTAAGTACATATAAATTAATTGTTTTATTTCATATTAACACATATTAACATTATTTAAATAAAAATGATATTTTTTTAAAATATTGTTTGGAGTATTTAAAATGATTGATTTTATTTTTATTTTTATTGGTTGTATGGGTTCAAACCGAGACTAAAAATAAGACAACGAGAATTTATCTCATAAAATAGAGATGACAAAATATGGTTCACGTATCCTTTGCCATCATGAATCCAATTTATTGAGGTAGGTTAACATTGCCCATTTATCAATTTGAACAATTGTCTAAGTAGTTTTTTGATAGTCAAAGATAAGGCGAATACCATTTTTTTTTAATTTATATATATTAAAAATATAATAGAATATGATTTGAAGAATTATAATTTTGTGGTTATTTTTTGTAAAAGAAAATATAATAATAATAATTTAAATTATCAATATTTACAAAATAAGTTTAAATTATTAATTATAATTAAGTAATTTAATGTATATATATAATAATTATTTTAATTTATCTAATAAAATATTAATTAATAAATAAAGACTTAAAAATATTTATATATCAAAATATATAATTTTTTTATAAAAAAAAAACTTACAAGACAATTTATTAACTCTCTTTATTAGGATAGGTCAAGACTTAGTTCGTTTTGGTTACAATGAACTTGAGATAGATTAATTTTTTTTAGATCTAATTTAGGACACAATTTTGATTCTCGTTCACATTTTTTTTTATAATTTGCTTTTTTCAAGATGATTTACGAGGGTCTAACTGGATTTTGAATATGAATTTTTACTCCTATGACCAATGTTCTAATAAGATAGCTGGGAAATATTTATATATAAAAATATATACTTTTTTTATAAAAGAAAAAAAAACTTGCAAGTCAAACCATCAACTCTCTCTTTATTAGGATACTTCAAGACTTGTAGTTAGTTTTGATTACAATCAACTTTATATATATATATATATATATATATATATATATATATATATATATATATATATATATATATATATATATTTTTTTTTTTTTCACATCTAGTTTAGGACGCAATTTTGATTCTTTTTCACAATTTTTTTTTATAATTTGCTTTTTTTAAGATGATTTATTAGGGTCTAACTGGTTTTTAATATGAATTTTTACTCCTACGACCAATGTTCTAATAAGACAGTGGGAAATAGTTTTTAAACACATTTAACATTAAGCGGGTTATAAGAATTTATATTTACATTATTTGTTTATGCATAAATAGTTTTACATCTTTTTAAGGATAAAATTATGTTTTATTCAACTTTCGTCAAAATATCAAAATTAATTTTTCTTAGTAAAATATCTTCCTAATCTAACTCTATTATGATGAAGTATTTTTAATAATTTTTTTCTCAAAATATATCTATTGTACTCAATTAATGCATCATCAACATCATCTTTTATTAGACACTAACCAATAATGTCATCTTACGTTCTCATCTGATACTAAAAAACCAAGTTATAACACAAAACATCCTAATTTTAGCCAAAATTTCATTATCGTACAAAATTTTTATAATAGTATTCAAATAAGTCCATTTTGAATTTGGAATTGAAAATAATAGAAAATTTATAAATAGAATGAATCACATTTCAATAGTTATTAAATTTAAACAATATATTTTTTTACCATTAACAGAGACAGTTGATTAAGTCAATGCCAGTTTAATTTAGTATAATTTGAAAAAATATAAATTAGTAATTGATGCTTAATAGTTTAAGATAATTCAATAATGGAATTGAACAATTATAATCTTTCTCAAACATTGTTTACAAACTATCCTTATATACTTAGTAAATTCTAGTATATTATGAAAATTTCAAGAATTTTGTTGGTTGAATATTATAAATCATATTCAATTGCTTTGAGTTTTCTCATATTTTTTATTTCTTTTAATTATTGTAGTCCAATATATTATATTACCGTGAATATTTTTTACCATGTCTTTCATCCCTTGAACCTATCTTTAACTATTAAACAAATATTAATCATTTAGTAAAGTATCTTATTATAATTTATCCTTAATTTTATCAATCATGATATCATTTATGGTACATTATCTAGGATGGTAGTGGAAAATTTTATGTTAATGTTCCAATAAACATTCACTTAATGCATTACAAAGTCTACCACTTATGTAAGAAATTGAAATATAAATGAAACTAATATAATAAAAGAAATTGAAATATAAATAAAACTAATATAATAAAAGAAATTGAAATATAAATAAAACTAATATAATAAAATTTATATAATCAATATGTAATCATCTTATCATAAAAAAATATATTAGAAAAGTTTGATTTTAAAATATCACTTTATAAGTTCTAAAAGTGATTGATGTAATGAGTAATATATATATATATATATATATATATATATATATATATATATATATATATATATATATATATATATATATATATCCTTTGTTATTTGCTGAGTGCATATTTATGTTGACATTCTTCTTTTAACATCATCTAATAACTTCAAAGTTATTGATATATTATAATTATAAACTTTGAGTATTCTCTTTTTAATTATATTTTTAGAAGAAATTTAAAATGCTAATTAGAGAACAAATGAATATTTCTTGAGATTAACAATGATCCATGAAAGGTGGATATTCATATATAATAATTATTAGAAAACTCTTTTCCTTTTATGCACTAGATTTTCACTTTTTTATCCAAATCTTATTTAACTTGAATGATCTTAAGCATAATAATGTTTATTCTTTCCCGTTTTCAAAACAATCTTAAATTCAAGATAATTGTCCTTGTTTTGCCATAATTACTTTGTTTCATTTGTTTTGTTTTACACCTAAATTTTTTTTACTTGAATTGCGTTAAGACTTGAAAAAAAAAATCTTATAACTACTTTGTTTTATTTTTCACCAAAATTTTCTTACATGAATTGAATAAAGAATTAAAAAAAAAAAATCTTAAAACTACAAAATAAGACTTTTTATCATTTTTTTCAATTGTTTTTTCTTCTCTTTCACACTGTTTAATAATTCTTTTTTTTTAAATTGGGCTTGTGTTGATTATGAAAGTTAAATAAAATAGTAAAACTCAATAATCACATAACAAAATCTAATAAAATAGTTATTGTACATCCTTTACTAGTAAAAGTATCAAATTATATATTTACATTTCACTTGGAGACTATATAATATTCTATAACACAAAACATCATTTTATATCAATTGAAGACTTTATTAAACTAAAATCTTTATTTTTAGATTATTTGTACATCTCAAAATTTTCTTTATATTTCATATTTGCTTTGTGTCTAGCACGCTTGATAGTGAAATATAAAAACTTGTATGGCATGCTTTCTAGTTGCAAATGATATAATATAATTATTTTAGTTTTTATTAACTTTCAACTTTGTCTTTATTATTTTATCTATATTTTATGTTATTATTCTTATTCATCATTCATCATATCTCATGATAATTAAATAATTATATTATTAAATTTTTATAATCAAAACAAGTTTTATTATATTAAAATAATCAATAATTGAAAAATGCGGTAAAGAGAAGAAAAAGAGTTAGGAGATATATATATATATATATATATATATATATATATATATATATATATATATATATATATATATATCCACATGATCCAATCTCAAAAAAAATTTTGAACTGTCTTACTTCTTTGTCAAATAAAGTCTCACAAGATGATAGAATCATACTATTAAAATCAAATAGGTTTTAAAGTAAGATATGACTAGATTTCAAAAAGTATTAAAATAACCAAGATCATTTTCGTAAGAACCTATTGAAAAGAAAAAAAATGGGACAAAACAAAGAAAACATTTTTGGATACAAAAATTTATGATGTAGAATATGCATGATAATAACTTTTACGGACAATTATTATATATGAATGTTCCCTTTTAACCTGTATCATGTTGATTTCAATAGATACTCATATATTCTTAAAAAAGTATTGCAAGTTCCTTCTATAACTATAATTAAAAAAATAGATATTCAAAATTATAATTCTAAGAAATCAATAATTTGAAAGTTATTGAATAACTTTGAAGGAAGAGTGACTCCTACCTCATACATGTAGTCTTTGAATTATTAGATATATGATTGTCATTATTCGTAATATTGATGATTCTAACTTAAAGTCACATTTTAAATTAACAAATAATTTTCATATTCATATTATATATATATATATATATATATATATTTTTTTTTTTTTTAATTTTTGTATGATAAAATGAATGAATATTACTATGTTAGGTTGATTTTATGTTCTAGCTTCCTACACCCACAAAAATGTTAGACTTTGTAATGCAATAGTTGAACATTACAAAAGTGGTAAACTTTGTGATGCAATAGTTGAATATTTAATGGATTAGAACATAGATATAAATTTCTCCCATATCATCTTAGATAGTATAAAAAATTATGTCATGATTGACAAAATTAAGGATAGAATTCAACTAGACAAATTATCAAGGGATAATATTTGGACTAGTTGTGCTAATATGTTAAATTTGATAGTTAAAGATGAGTTAAAAGTGATGAAAGATAGGATAGAAAATATTTGAACCAGTGTAACATATTAGACTGTATTACCTAAAAGGAAGGAAAAGTTACATGAAAAAATAAAGTTATTGTGAATCTGTTATACTTGGTTTTGAATTTTTCATCTAATGGAATTTAATGTTGCAATGTATGAAATTTTCATAATATATACGAATGTGATTAGTCGACTTAAGCAACGACATTCTTAATATATTTATTTGACAACTAGTTTAAAATGCAAGATTGCAAACAATGTAAAGGTTGAAATAGTTTAACAATATTACTAAATTATTTTGTACTACTAAACATTCATTTGTTAATATGAATTTTCTAAAATATATGTGAGATTAATTTGATATTGACTTAGTGGGTTGTCTATCATAATGAATGGATTCAAAAAATGATAGAGAAGATATTCTTCAAATTTGATAGATTATAGGAGTTGCTACTATTTTGGATGCTAGATACAAATTGGAGTTAATTGAATACCATTGTGAAAAATCATATGATCATGAATTTTTTGCTTAATTTAAGACGACTCATAATTTGTGTTATGACTTTTTTTTAAGTATTAAATAAAAATGCATAAAAACATTGTTAGCTAGTCTTTGATAAAGAATGATACTAGTTGATAGTGATGTGTTAATTGAGTATAATTTTGTCAGAAAAAAAAACAAAAATTTCTTATATTGAAACAAAGTTAAGAGGAGATTTTATTAGGAAAAGATGATTTTAGTATTTTGATGTAGTGGAAGTTGAATAAAGTTGTATAAGTCCAACTTAGCTTGATCTTACAAATCAAGTAAAAATTTTTGATGACCTATTATGACTTGTATTTTTAAATGGACCATAATTTTTTGCCTAACCTAATCCTATGTTAGGCTAATGGACTAACAAATCAATTTTGACCTCATTGAAAATATAAAAAATTATTAATGTGTCTATAAAAAAATAAATTAATTAAAAAATGTTTAAATAATTAATTAAAATATATTTTAAAATTTTAAATTATATAATAAAATTATTTTTTATTTCAAATATAATAATTTAATATATAAATTATAAGATAAGAGAAGAGATTCATTTAGTCCCAAAATAAAAGTTAAAAAATTATTTTTCACTCGTCATCATTCAATTTTTTAATAATTTATTGATCTAAATAATAATTCATCTTAAATATTAGATCATGAAATAAGTAGATATTATATACTTTTCTTTATATTTATTTTCAAAATAAATGAATATCTTATCAAATTAATTTATAACGTCATATAAATCATGATTTAAATGGGTCGAACTAAAATAAGTATAATTCAATTTTAGGTTACAAATTTTTTTAACATAACCTAACCTATTTTTCAAACATTTCCTATCAATCTATCATATTAAACTTATTTTTACAATAAAAAATACCTAACAAATCAATTATTAATTAGTAAGGTAAGGATATATTAGTTATTTTTATATTTCATAAATTTTTGAAAATATGAAAATTGATTTCATCGGACTACTTCTATGCTAGGAATTGAATATGATAACGGAATCTAGAGCTAATGTTTTAAATAATTATATTTTTATATTTTAACAAGTATTTTATATATTTTGTTAGGTTCTCTTATTTTTAAATTAATTTATGACTATATTATTTCATGGGGTAATCTAAAGATAAAAATTCTATTTTATTTGTTTATTTTAATTAATAAATATTACTATTTTTCTAAGATTTTATTTAGCTTGTCAATGATCTATTTTATTTTGAATTATGTAGGAGAATAGGTGACTAATAAACTTAATTTTATATTATGTATTTTTGAACAGTTGAAATTTGTTAGTAATATTTAAATATTTGATTTTGAAATATGGTTTTGAAATTTATTTATACTATATTATGTATTTTTTGTGAAGGATTTATAGTTGAATTTGTTTATTTATTAGATTATTGGTTGAAACTTGTAGAAAAGGTATTTGATATTTGTATTTACTTATAATGAATCAATTCAATAATTAGCTTTTTTTATAAATTATATATTTTGTAATTGAGAAACTTAAGAAATACATAACTTATATATATATATATATATATATATATATATATATAATAATAATAATAATAATAATAATAATAATAATAAAATGTTTTGGATAACTTATATACATAATAAGTGTTTGAATACAATTTTATAATATATAATATTATAATATTATAGTATTTCACATGATACTTTAATGTTAAAATCTATCTATTATATTAGAATATTTAATTAGTTTTTTCCAAGTATGAGAATAAAGTAAAAACTATTTTATAAAAAGAAAAATTGAAATAAATATAACCTATAAAATTAAAATTACAGTTGCATGACTATTCTCCTAATATATTATTGTATTGTTAATTTTCACTAGTAGCTTTGTTAAAAATAAGAAGAAGAAAAATTCGGGTTTTTTTTAAGAAATATTTTGGTGCTTCATAAAAACTTCCTAGTATTTTGGTCCTTCGTATTTATTAATGATTAATTTTATTAATAAATTCAACTGATTATTTTGAATTATATTTTTCACAAAACTTAAACATAATATTTTCTTAAGAAATCAAAATCTAGTTTCAATCCAACAAACACATGCTAACCATACTTATTTTTAGCAACACAACATGAGAACAGGTGAAGGTATTATTAGTATAGTTATTTTTAGAGTGATTATATTCTGATAATAATATTTTTTTTAAAATTCAATAAATAATCTATCATAATAATAAAATGATATATTATTATAACAAATTATCTACCAGGTATTTTTCCAATTATTTACATATCATTTTTTCTTATTTTGTTTCCCTAAGATTAAGTAGGGTTTTACTTTTGTCCTAATTTTAATTTAATTACAGTCAAGTCAACTGTGCATTTCAGCTCTCAACTCGCGATTTAATATCTCCTCAATAATTCTATTTTTTTACATGAAAAATTATTAGGTATGCATGTAAGAAGAATCTGAGAAACTTGTTGCTGAATCATGATCACTCTCGAAGTTCAAAGGGAATGAATACTTTTTCTCGGAACAACAACAACACCAACTTTGATCGTTCCATTGTTGTTCCCCTTTAACCCCAATTAGTTATCATAAAACCCAAGAAACATTTGGTTTCGGAGATACAATGATTGGGCGCAGAGAGAGAGAGGGACCCTTGATGAGGAACACCAGCACAAACTCACTACGCAAATCCAGGGTCCTAACCGCAGTTGCAATTGGCGTCCTAATTGGATGCGTCTTCGCTTTCCTGTTCCCCGATGGCTTCTTCTTTTCTGACTCTGTTGCCGCTAATCGCCACCTCCCTCTCGCGGGATCCAAGACCCAGGTTACATTTTCCTCAAAGACTCTGTCTTTTGCTTTTTCTTAGTGTTTCAGCTTTCGGGGTTTCTTGCCATCTTCATCGCTTATGTGATTACCGTTGACTGGGAATTCTCAATGTTCTGGCCAACTTTTTCCCTTTTGTTGTTCTTGGATTGTGTTTGTTTGCTGATCCTGCTAGTTTTGGATCTATCTGCCCTCATCATTGCCTTGGAAAAACAATACACACTTTTTTCCTCTTTTTAAGATTTGTCTAGATTTATACGGTGGTCAATTTTGCTTGTCAAATTTGATATGATAGTGATGTTAGTTGTAATGTGTGTTTCTAAATGGCCTTTTAGCCTATATTAGTGTATCCTGAAGATCATGTCTGGTTGGTTTCTCTGCCTAGGGGTAAAACAATCTCCTGGCGTTGATGTTAAACTGGAATTTTGTTTGTATGGTGATCTGTAGCTGATTTTGTTCATTTTTTTCAGATTTGCTTTAGAGGCAATCTAGGCATAATGCACAAGTCTACCTACTAATCTTTTGGCTTGGTTTTAATAGGCAGAATTTGATCTTTCTTTGATTGGTTTACACGTGATTTATGTGAGGAGAAGTGCTAGCGGCAGACTCTGTAACACACTCTTTCTCATAGTTTAAATTCTATCGAAAAGAAAATTGTAAGTAAGACTTTTAAAATGAGAAGTGGGTTCCACAAAGTATGTAATTCCTAATGAACGTCAACCAAAAGTTAAGAGTGTGTTCTAAAGGATGTGTTTGAGAGTTTGTTACTAACATTTCTCCAATATGAAAGAAGAACCCTGTGGCATGACGGCATCATTACTATCATGGATTTTGTTTGGCAGGAAAATTCAGCTGGATGTGAATCCTCAGATCGGGTCAACATGTTAAAATCAGAGTTTGTGGCGGTATCAGATAACAATGCTGAGCTGAAAAAACAGGTGAGGGAATTGACTGAAAGGCTTCGCCTTGCAGAGCAAGGGAAAGACCAGGCTCAAAAGCAGTTCCTTACACTAGGTAAGCAGCATAAGGCTGGACCTTTTGGTACCGTAAAGGGATTGAGAACCAACCCTACTGTTGTTCCTGATGAGTCTGTGAACTCAAGATTGGCAAAGATATTAGAGAAAGTTGCAGTTAAACGAGAGCTTATTGTTGGACTTGCAAACAACAATGTGAAGGAGATGCTGGGGGTCTGGTTCACCAACATCAAGAGAGTTGGCATAACCAATTATCTAGTTGTTGCACTAGACGATGAGATTGCAAAGTTTTGTGAATCAAATCAAGTACCGGTGTATAAAAGAGATCCAGATGATGGTGTAGATAACATTGGAAGAACCGGGAGCAACCATGCTGTCTCTGGTCTTAAATTTCGTATTCTGAGAGAATTTTTGCAGTTGGGATACAGTGTTCTTCTATCAGATGTTGACATTGTATATTTACAGAATCCTTTTGATCATCTATACCGGGATTCAGATGTGGAGTCCATGACCGATGGTCACAATAACATGACCGCTTATGGCTATAACGATGTGTTTGATGAACCTGCAATGGGTTGGGCTCGATATGCTCATACTATGAGGATATGGGTTTACAACTCCGGTTTCTTCTATATCAGACCAACAATCCCTTCAATTGAGCTTTTGGATCGTGTTGCAACACGACTTTCAAAAGAGACTGCATGGGACCAGGCTGTTTTCAACGAGGAACTATTTTTCCCCTCACATCCTGGTTATGATGGGCTTCATGCTGCCAAAAGAACTATGGATATGTATCTCTTCATGAATAGCAAGGTTCTGTTCAAGACAGTGAGAAATGATGCTAACCTCAGCAAATTGAAGCCAGTAATTATTCACGTGAATTATCACCCTGATAAGCTTCCCCGAATGAAAGCAATTGTTCAATACTACGTTGATGGGAAACAGGATGCTCTCAAACCTTTCCCTGATGGCTCAGATTGGTAAACCTGCTTTTGCAGCTGAGGGTATATTTTCTTGGTGACTATTGTTTAGAACAGTTTTACATTAGATTTTATTAGTCACAAAGCAAATGTGTAGGTCAAAAAAGATATCATTTTATGAGCGCATTGAGTTATGCTTTGAGGCCCCATTCTGAGATGGTTCGGTTTTTTCTTCTTTCTTTTTCATCTATTCGTTTGTTATGCTTGCTTTTGGTGGGGCTTACATAAGATTTCTTCTGTAACATTTGTTGTATGCTAATTTGAAGGTTTTGTTGTTTTTATCTCAACCCCATATGCACATTAGAAAATATATACTACATATTAGGCCTTGAGAGGTATATTCTCTTGGCGTCTCGATTGTTTAGAAACGTTTTACAGTAGATTTTATTAGTTATAAAGCATACGTGCAGGCAAAGAAAGATATCATTTTATGAGCAAATTGAGCTATGCCTTTGGCTTTATTCTGAGATGGTTCAGTTCTCTTATTTCGTTTTTTTATTCGTTTTTATACTTGCTCTTGCTGAGACTTGCATTGTTAGGATCGAGCGCTTACCACTAGGCCAAAAGCTATAGCCATTAGTCAGAGCGCAACTCTTTTTACTTTAACAGCCCAAGCGCCACGATTCAATTGTGACTCGGCCCACCTGACCTTCGTCACAGGACAATTGATGCTACCTGCAACAATCTCCCTCGACGATTGTCCTACAAGGTATCCCACTCTTGGATTGTGACTTGGCCCACCGGCCTCCGCACGGGACAATTGTGCAACCTGCAACAATCTCCCCTCAACAATTGCCCACCGGGAATCGAACTCGTGACCTTGGCTCACGATACCAATTGTTAGGATCGAGCGCTACCACTAGGCCAAAGCTATAGCCATTAGTCGAGCGCAACTCTTTTACTTTAAGCTCAAGCGCCACGATTCAATTGTGACTCGGCCCACTGACCTTCGTCACGGACAATTGATGCTACCTGCAACAATCTCCCCTCGGCAATTGTCCTACAAGGTATCCCACTCTTGGATTGTGACTTGGCCCACCGGCCTCTGCACGGACAATTGTGCAACCTGCAACAATCTCCCCTCGACAATTGCCCACCAGGAATCGAACTCGTGACCTTGGCTCGATACCAATTGTTAGGATCGAGCGCTTACCACTAGGCCAAAAGCTATAGCCATTAGTCAGAGCGCAACTCTTTTTACTTTAACAGCCCAAGCGCCACGATTCAATTGTGACTCGGCCCACCTGACCTTCGTCACAGGACAATTGATGCTACCTGCAACAATCTCCCCCTCAGCAATTGTCCTACAAGGTATCCCACTCTTGGATTGTGACTTGGCCCACCCGGCCTCTGCCACGGGACAATTGTGCAACCTGCAACATGCATAAGTATTCTTCTGCAACATTTGTAGTAGGCTAATTTAAAGTTTTTGTTGTTTTTATTTCTACTCCATCCACACAATGTTGTTTGAGAAAGTATAAAACTTGGTTTGAATTTCTTACGTTCAGTTTTAAGTACTGAGGTAAAACTCATTTTTAATTAGAGAACAATACCAATAAGACTTCAGAAATTGCACTAAAGTTTTATTTATGGAGAAGAACAAACTTTGAATCCAGTTTCGTATGTAAAGTTTGTGTTATTCTTCAGTAATCTCCACAATTAGTATATGCATTAACTATTGCCTAAGCATGGTTTCTTAGGTAATTAATAACAATATCCATAGGTGTGAATAATGAGAAGTGATTATTTAAAGTCATCTAGTGCTAGTTGAGAGACTTCAGAAATAATGCATAACTCAATGATAATAAGAGACAAAACTCCCCAACGAATTTACATGTCAATGACAATGACTGAGATAACTTTTCTTCCTTACCAATTAAGATACAAGAGAGGGAACAAACATGTCTAAACTCTAATGGTTCATTTATTTCTCCTTAAGAAAATATATGAAGAGTTCAAATATTTCATAATTATAATATAGTATAAAAATGTATAAAATTTATGTTATAAACTAATTTTATAAAATTGATCTATAAGTATAAAAAGTGTTCTCAAACTCTAAAGTAGAAACACACGGAGTATAACTTAAACAAATAAAATAAAATAGAAGAATCATGTCCTTTTTTACATAAATAAAAGAAAAATTACACATAATTATGTAATTAAGTATATAGTAAATATTTTACATTAATTTTAAGGTCATGATTGAAGATGACTTCATAGTAAGTATTTTTTTATTATAATAATAAATAATAAAACATAATATGTAAATAATAAATAAAATTATTAATAACAAATAAATCTATCTATTTATTTTTTTACTTAATTCAAATAATTTTACTTTTGATTTTAATTTATTTCCATTTTGTTTCACTCATTTTTCTCTCCTTCACCATTCATATATCACAACAAAGTGTTAGACTCTTAAAAAAATATTGGATAAAATATATTTTTTATACAATAATTATAACAAATATTCATTTAGTATAATTAAATATTTTATTTGGTTTTCATACATTATTATTTACTTAATTAAATTTTTAATAATTAGTTTTACACCATTAGGACATTAAATGATATGTATGTTAATGTATATAAATTTAAGTGTCATCTAATAGACAATATATGTAAAAATAATTCATTCACATATTATTCAAAATTCATCAAGAAAAACTTCCTTGATGGTTATAGATATTTATGGTTACTCTTAATCTTTCATGAAATTAAACTTTCCTATGATTAAAACGCATTAGTATACACAAAACTAAAGAATTAGGTGACATAAATTAATTATCTTTTTTAACTATCATGATTAAAAATATGACAAAGTAATTAATAATGTATCAAAATTAGACAAAACATTTTAATTGTAATAATCATAAATATTTGTCATAATTATTATATGAAAAACATATTTTATTTTATTTTTCAATAAAATACCAATCAAATTAAGTCATTAATAAAAATCAATAGTTATTAACGGCTTGTTTGTTTGTTATTTTTTAAAATTAATTTCTAGTTTTTTAGTTTTAAAAATTATTATTATTCTTTATTTTTTGAAAACTAAAAAATAAAATTGATAAAATGTTTTTTTTTACTCACTTATCTACCATTGATTACGTTTATATTTCATGTGTAATCATGAAATTGTTGAAGTCAATTTTTTAATTTTTACAGTATCTCTCCCATCTAGAATAGTTTTCAAAATTAAGTAGGAATGATAATGGGTTGACCAACCCATTTTGAATCATCATTGTCTCGCAAAAAATTAGATGACCAGTTAATAATATTTTTAAACTCAGACTAGTCATTGAACCCAATCGGTTGAGACATAAATTCAAAGTTTAAATGTTCATCAACGTTTAACCAAATTTAATAAAATAATATTTTTATAATATAAGAAGTATATAATAAGTTTATTAATATTATATTTTTTTATAAAAGAAAGAAATATAATAAAAATTCCTGTAATAGTTAATAAAGGTTATCGATATAAAATAAAAAAGATATGATGGATAATTATTAAAATAAAATAAATTATTATTTAAAGTTGATGTAACTAGAATGAAATAAAAAAGAAGAAAATAAAAATTTAAAATATATTATATCTTTTATAAAAAAATTATGTTAAAAATTTGATTTTAATTTTTTTTTTACCAAAATCAACCTAAAAATCCAACCGATTTTCTCAATTTTACATATTTTATCCTGATTTAATTAAAATTTATTATTTAAAAGTAACCGACGGATTCTTTATTAGACCCGTTAAACCGATCTATCGATTAAATTTCTAAAAGAGTACCGATTAGTTTGTAAATTGAATATCTTACCCATAAGATAAGATGATGGATATAGTCAAATATTAAGACGATGAAAACAATTAAATAGAATTATTTTTTAAGTGTTTCTTCGTTACTTTCTTATGTAACAATATAAGCTTATATGACTTTTTCATTTTTCTTTTCTTCATGGTGGTGAAAGAAAATTAAAGGAAAAAAAACAGTGAATTGTTAAATAGTGTGATTCAAATTAATGACAAACTTACATAGTGTTAGAATAAAAACAGCAGCAACGGTTTAAGTTGTTAGGTTTACTTGGTTAGATAGTTATAAAAGAAGGCATCGTCAAATTGGATGCGACGCGACACTGCTTTCAATAGTACATTGTACTGTACGGTGAGATAAAATAATATATTATTAATAAATAATAAATAAATATAAAAAAAATAAAATTATAGATATATAATTAAATATATTAAATTATCATTAAGTTTGAATGAAACAAAATTATAAATTATAAATGAAATGAGAAAATAAAATTGTAAATATATAAGTAAATATATTAAATATTGATTATGTTTAGAGAAACCAAAATCATACATTAGACAAGACTTACCAAATTTTAGGTGGTTACTACCCTCCCAAAAAATATGTTACTTTGGGTCACTGGCCAGATCTCCAAATCGCCCAAGAACTTGTTGCTGGTATTCTTTCCAAGACCAAGCAGTCGGTTGTTTTGGAAATTGCAAAATGCCACGCAGCTCACATCTCTCCATATGAACAATTACTAGTCTTGTCAGAGGTGTTATCAATGGAAAAACAAATTGTGACATTGATAAAGTCAATGAACATTTTCATCATTAAAACGAGAAAAGTCAATTCCATTCTTGCTAGACGTATACTGCAAGAATATGTACATTGATTCGTTCTTGTCATCAACCTTGTAGCCTCTACGTTCTTCTGAGTAATTCTTGTAAGGTTTCTTGCATAGCCGTGCCTAAAGTATTTTGTATAGATCCTACCAATTTTGCCAAACGTTCTTTCAATTGTGATGACAGTTTTTCTTCCAACTCCTTCATTGCTGTAGCACTTCGTATGGAATCTGACATGAAGAAATTGCATCCATATAGATCAGTCGCCTTCAGGAAAAATGCAAAGTTGAGTCCTAAGCAGTTTGGACCGTACAAAATCATTGACTGTATTGAAGTTGTTGCTTATAAACTAGAATTAGGGGGCAGTCCAAGATTTATAATGTGTTCCACATTTCACAACTTAAAAAACAAGTGGGAGAGGTCTTTACTTCCACACAATTACCTTATCGGAAGATGCATTAGAAGAAAAGGAACCAGAGTACATTTTGGATAAAATGACTGTCATGAGGAAGGGAGCACTTGCGACTAAGGTTCTTGTGAAATGGAAAACATGTTACATGGGAGTTCTACTATGATCTGAAGAAGAAATATTCAATGTTCAATCATTGAGGACAAGGATTTCTTGAGAGGGGCTTTCTTAGAATAAAAACAGTAACAACTGTTAAATTGTTAGGGTGACAGATGGTTAGATAGCTATAAAAGAAGGCTACGTCAAACTAGATGTTGTACTGCTTTTCATTCAATTATACTGTGTCTTATAAATCTTTTTCAATAACATGTCTATTCTCACCGGATAATCACCATTCATATTGGAAGACAAAATAATATATTATTAGTAAATAATAAATAAATATAAAAAAAAGATAAAAAGGTGAAAGGATAAAATTGTAGATATATACTTAAATATATTAAATGATCATTAAGTTTAAGGGGATAAAATTATAAATTATACGAGAGTTACAAAATAAAAGGATAAAATTATAAATATTCAAGTAAATATATTAAATGTTCATTATGTTTAGAGATCAAAATCATAAATTATATGGGAGTTACAAAACTTTGGAGGTTACCTCCCCTTAGCTCCCAAGAAAATCCCTCTACTGTCACTAAAAATCTTACCTGAACTCCCTTTGGTTTTTAGAATTGACAATCCATGATCATTCCTTCCAGAGGATACTTTTGCACTTAGAAAACCTTTTCTTAGACTGTGAATAGAGTATGAAGTCCTGTAGTACACCAAAATAAGTAGGAGTTCACGATCTTTCAAAAGAGTTAATTCTCTATTGAGTACATCTTTTCCAATATAACACAATAAAAATGATTGTCTTGACGATATATGAATATCTCGTTTGCATGAAAACAAATAATACAGACGTCCAATATTCTAGAAAAGACCAAAAATCCTTAGTCAGCATTGAAACTTAGTTTGTTTCATCGTAGAAGGAATAATGTCAGGATTTCAAGCAAACAATCTAAGAGGTTCCAAGAACCTAACGCCACGACCTTGCGCACGTCTTCCAAAAAAAAATTCAAATTCGAAAGCCTTTACCTAGAGAGTTTGCATTCTATGATAAGTATCATACTGATTTTGTGTAATCGTTTAATACAAATATCTATTATACCAATCTGATAACTTTTACTTTGATTGTAAAAAACAAGACAAACAGTATTAAGTAGTAACAAATGCAGCGGAAAAGGGGAGGAGGAAAGCAGAATCAGCACATTAAATAAGTTTCACAAAACTTCATAGCAAAGTCTCAACGTCATCCTAAAAGAATAACCTCAACGTCAACCCAAAAACTTGGATATTACTATGAAAATAAGGAAAAATGCTAACCAATGCCTTAAGATACTGGTTAAAAGGACCATAAATCATTTGTTAATGTTTTGAAAGCTACCAGATAAAAACATTACACTTCCCCTGTCATTTATTTAGGCTTTACTGATTTCTATAAGGAAAACGATGTCTGGGTTGTAATCTGAAAATGACAGATCTTGAATAAGTTGTAATTTGAATCCTCAACTGTCATTTGAGTTTTTATCACCATCAGCATCCAAGTCAGCAGACAGTGCATTCAAAACTTCCATTACTGTTTCTTCACCAAACATCTCATTGAGTTCATCCTGTCCCCATAACACACCAGATCAGATGCTAAAGTTTGTGGCAAGGGAAGAAGTGGACAAAGGAAAAAAGTTTAGATAAATTATGTTTATGTTTTAGTTTGTAGTATATAATTAGTTATATCCCTTCAAATTGCTTCAAAGAAAGAATGTAACATGGGAACATTCAATTTTTCTTTTACAGGAATATAAGTACTTAGTCATTCGACTTAAAAACCTACAGTAACAGGTAAATAACTTGACAAATAAGGATTCAAATGGCATACCTGTAAGGAATCGTTATTTTTTATGAGCTTGTCACAGTCATCAATAAGGTCATGAAGCTCTTTCTTTAGCGCAGCATTTTCAACATCTAGATTTTTAATGGATTCATTTAGCCTTTCACGTTCCATCTGCCATGATGAAACACACAAGTTATGGGAAACATGAAGACTTTAAGGAAATGACAGAGGTGTGAAGAAAGATTGTGAATGATGACAAAAGTGAGGGTGAAGCACAAGGAACATTAGCCACTTCCCTGGAGGTTTGTGAAACATTTGATTTAGGTTTAAGCATCTACCATAACAATACTCTTAATGAATTTATTAGCTCTCTCTTTTGGTAAAATTAGCCCTACTACCTTTTTATGATAGTGAGAAATTTTCATTGCTCTAGTTAAAAAAGTTCATGCACAATTAGAATGATCGTTGAAGGCAACTAAAGAATAAACATCTTTTGTCTAACATATGATCTATAATGTATTAAAATAGCATTAATAGGAATATATTGTTCTTCTGTTTAAAATTAAATAAAATAACTACAATTTTAGGAATCTATATTATACAAAATCTATAGTGAGTTGTAGAGCTGACATGAAAGCCTGGATATTTTCTACTATTAATGCCACCACATTAGCTTATTTAGATCTTCTCATAAAGTAGCTACCTTTTCATCTTCTTAGGAAGAAACTATCTGCTAGGTGTTTTTCAATGGTAATATTACCACACCTCTTAATTAACGTGTAGCTTCGGTTGTGCATGAGCATGACAGTTACTTCATAAATGAGGATGTCAAAAGTCACTCAATATTGTGTAATAATTGATCAGTTTAATTCAAACTTTTCAAACTTTTTTAATCCAACCCGAACCAGGTTAACTCATATTCACTTCGTCATTCATAAGTGAGAAATAATGATATTAAGATTTTGAATATGTATTTTTAATATATATGATACGGTGAAGTTTTTCTCCCATAATATTATTGTTATTCATCTATTCTAAATATAAAGATTAAAAGTATACCAAAATATTAATAATATTATTAATCTTAACTATCTAAATAAAAATAATAATATAATACATTTTTCTCTTATTCTAAATAATATAAAAATATCTTAATATCTAATTTAAATAAAAAATAATAAAATATATATTATCAATTTTTCTCGTTTCTTTAATATCTATTTATTTAAATTTTATATATTAAAATTGATTTTTTTTCTTTCTCTTCTTTTATTTATAATTCTTTTCATTTTTTCCTTGTAATTATTGTCATTTTCTTTCTTGTATACAATAATTTCTTCATTCAATTTCATTGTCTTTATACCAGATGTTTCCTTTCCAATAACTTACAAATTCATTTGTTTCTCAACATGATATTTCTCTTCATAAGACTTCTTCTCCTTTGCACAACCACTCTTCCATTTAGCCTTTAACATATTAAAAATTTCCTTAAATTTTGTCTATGTATTCGTTTTCTTAATCTCATTCTATTTGTCTTTCACCCACAAAATATAAGGTGAAAAATGTTTTTCTTTTCTGAGTATTCATTCCTTTTCTTATCTTGTTATGTTTCACTATCTTTTAATACAGTCAAATTCGTTGTAGGTTTAAACTCATTCAACTTCTATATAACTATGCTTGAAACTTCTCTTATTCACATCTACGATTTTTGAGTTCTCATCTTTTTGTTTAAGAGACTTGTCTTTGGTCTTCAAGAACTATTCGATTTTTTCCTTCCCGAGGTACATGTATTGCAACATTTTTTGCATCTCAAGTAATTCTTTCTCAAAAGATTATTGCTTCCTAGAGTCTTGTTTCGACATGGGTGAAATTGGTGTCATTAAGGATTGAGAAAGTTTCCCAACAATAATATTGGATTGGTTCATTCAACTTTTGCATAACTACTTGAAGTGTTTCTTGTTCACATCTATGGTTTTCAAGTTCTTCATCTTTTTGTTTGAGAGCCTCGTCTTCAGTCTTCAAGAACTCTTTGGTTTTTCCTTCTTGAGGCGCATCTATTGTAACATTTTCTACATCTCGAGCAATTCTTTCTCGAAAGATTGTTGCTTCTTGGAGTCTTGTTTCAACGTGGACTCATGTTTTATTAATGTTGTCTCTCTCCGGTGAATCCCTCTCGAAAGACCTAACAAATGGTATCAGAGTCAAAGGTTGATCAGCAACGGGTCAAAGTGATCTTTGTATCGAAAGTCTTCTTGACAGTGGGTCAGGTAAGCATGTCCCGTTATGATAAACGACGGTACATGGAAAGACTACTAGTGTGTTTGAGGGGATATACCAATATGGAGGAATTCACACTTGAAGGGGAGATTCTTAGGTAATCCAAGTGTGATTCTAAGTCCCACGTTGTATAAGAATGAGAAAGTTGAGCAACATATAAGGAAGAAAGACCCATAACTCAATGCCTTAAAGTTTTTGGTTGAGAATAGTGTTAATTCTTATGTAGGTTGGACTCATGTCTCATTGGTGTTGTTTCTCCCCTATAAATCCCCTCTTGAAAGACCCACTAAGTTTCCTAGAAATAATATTGGATTGGTTGATAGGGTTTTCTCTTTTCAGACTCTTCTACCCTTCTCCATCTTTGTAGGTACTTTGACGAGAATTATTAATGACTTCACTTTTATTTTTCTTGTTTTTCTTTTCTTTCTGAATTTTTATTTGAGCCATAGTAGGATTTTTATGCAACATATCAATGATGTAATCATCTTTCATAGCTTTCCATAAATCTAGTCCTTCAAAATATGATTGCATTCTCATAATCCATAGGTTGTAACATTCACTATCGAAAAATGGCATGATAACTTGTGAGAAATTTTTTTCTCCTTCCATTCTACAAGTCCACTAAGAACCAAAGTTCTTATACCACTATTTAGATTTAGGGTTTTGAATATACATTTTTTATATATGTATATGAGATATATGATATGATAGAACTTTTCTATCATTATTTTTATTCATTATTTTTATTCATGTATTCTATTCTATCGAGAGGAAAAATATAATAAAATATAAAATATTAATAATATCTCAATTTTAACTTTCTAAATTTAAATAAAAAAATAATAATAAAACTTACATTTCCAACACTAGGGAAGTTCTCAAAGTCAATTGTCTACAACTTCATAGTCAATTTCAATGTATCTCTTTTCTGTGTTTTTCATTATTAGTATTCATGCATAAGTTTAAATTCCTAGACTGCAACAACTACATGTGTATGCTTTCTTAGATTCAACAGCTAAATCTCTTTTTACTAGGAAATCAATGAAACACGATGGCAAGGTTTAATGTTCATGCCAGAAAATTCAAGTACATTTATCATTGTCACCTGATGTACTCTATAATTCCTCATATGTTTCTTTTTTTTATAATCAATTCAGAAGTTCGACACAACTGCTTTAAGTGGCAGTATATAATAAATATGTTGTGTACCTTCATCTTGATCCTTGATCTCTTAGCTGATTTCTTCTTTGACTGCCTTCTTCTTTGCTCTTTTGCTTCATCAGTTTCCTGTCAAAGTAAATGCAGGTCAGCTGGAAATAGAGTGCTTCATTACAATTAAATGGAGAAACGATAATATGCCAAGTATTTAGCAAAGAAATTAATTTTCACTGTAGAACACATCTCCATAGTCAGTAGATAGAACAACAACTACAATTTTGGTAGCCTTTCATCCAAGATGGCCTTAAGTGACAAGGAATGAGGTCCAGGAAGAACAAATCCAATGCCAAATTGAACATAAATTAGCAAGCCAACGTCCAAGATCACTTACAATGCAAACAGGAAATCGTAATAAGTGCATTAGTACTGCAGAAGCCCCTCCACCTAGCCACAGAAGGGTGGCATGTGGATTTGATGATACTTACTTAAACCACAACATAAAAATGGTGTAGCTATGAAGGTATTTAACAAATTTAAAGATGGAAGAAATCAATGAGGTGAATCTAGGCCATGTATCTTTGGACCATTATAGCATCAATTGAAAACCAGTGATAGTTTAATATCATACTTAGATTCTCCTTTTTGATACAGTTAAACTGGTTCGTACAATTTCCTTCCAAGGTAATACTATAAAAGTTCTATTTTGTTTAGTTTTTAAATTATTTATAAGCATGATTAGCATGGAAAGATCAACTTTAGATATTCATATATGTTCAGCATATTAATCCAATAAAAAATTTAAAGGGAAGTTAGCTTGTCTATTAATTTCATTCCCTTTATCTCTGGAATTCATTCAGATCGCGAGTTCCCTTTTCTAGCATGGAAAGGTAACAGAAAAGCTAATATGTCATATAACAGTCAGAAAAATGCAGTACCTCCTTCACAAGTTGAGGATTAGTGGCAGATGCTTTGAGTTTTGTACTCAATTTCCGATTCAGCTTAGTTGGATTTGCTTCAAAATGATCCGACGCAATATTTGTATTCTCTTGAACAGAATTTCGATTTTCAATACTAGTCACATTGTTTGCACCACCACCTGATCAAATCTCAGATCGTAAGACATGAAATTTCATCTTTTATAAATCAAATCACAAATCGATGAACATAAAACATACCATTTCCCGCTGCCACACTGGATTGCTGTTGATTAATTGAAGGGATATTCTTCAGCTGAAAGGATCATAGATTATAAGCATTATGAACTATATAGATGAAAACACTGGCAAATAAGATGGTGGAAATAGTTCAATACTTTTTCATGTAACAATTTAAGCTTATATGACTTGTTCATTTTCATATTTTTTTCACGAGAATTGGTGAAAGAAAAGTAAAAGGAAAGAAAAACAGTGACTTGTTCAATCCTCTGGTTCAAATCAATAATAAACTTACATAGTTCTTCAAACATGTCTACAGTCACTAAAAATCTTACCTGAAACCGCTTCTCAGAATTGACAATCCATGACTATTACAAAGTATATTAATTAGACTTTGATTTTGTCAATCCTTTTAGAGGATACTTTTTCGCTTAGAAAACCTTTTCTTGAGTAGTTGCATGATCATGGGTGATGGTAGGTAGGGGAATGGTATATAACAAAGCCTTTTGGAAACTGAATATTATTGAATCTTTGTTATGTATTAAACTGAAATATATTTGTGTATTTAAATACTCCCAAGAACTCTCTATTACACCAAACATTTACTCCCTAGAAACCAAAGAGTTCCATAATAATGCTCCCTGATAATATCACTTCCTCAACTTTAAAGAAACTTTCTAGTTCCTAAAACTATCAAGAGAAACGTTCTCACACTAAACATCACATCGCCTCCATTCTTCTTCGTATATAGAGCATGTTCATAAGGACATTGTATAAATTCGATCTCCTTGAAATAAGCATCTATCCAGTCGTTCCATGCGCGAGGGGCTTGCTTTAGCCCATAAAGAACCTTCTTCAGTCGCAACACTTTCTCCTCCTTGCCTTTCTTCACATATTTGAGTGGTTGGCCAATATACACCTCCTACTTGAGCACACCATTCAAGAATGCCGACTTGACATCCATCTGCATGATCGACCATTTGTTTTGTGCTGCTAAAGAGATCAACAGTCGAACCGTCTCCATCCTCTCTACTGGGGTGAACACCTCGTCATAGTTAATACCTTCCTTTTGCTTGTATCCCTTTGCAATTAACCAAGCTATGTACCTTTCCACCTCTCCTTGTGGATTGAACTTCTTCTTGTACACCCACTTCATGCCAATAGGCCAAGCATAACTTGACAGCTCGGTCATTGTCCATGTGTCATTCCGATCTATGGCTTGGATCTCATCATCCATGGTAGCTCGCCATTTCTCATCATGCACGGCCTCCTCAAATGTGATGTTCTCGGAATCTGCTAAAAGACAAATAACATGTACCTCATCAGTTGAATCATATAAGTCTCTCAAGCTCCTCATTTTTTATTGTCATTCGTGCTCCTCTTCGTCTTCCAATGGTGCAACAACTCGGTCTTCTGCTGAACTAGCTACTACAGGTGGAGTACTAGCTCGATCATGTTCCGAGTTGTCAACAGTTTGGTCTCCTTCCGATTCTCCCCAATTCCACTCACTTGTTCATCAAATCAGATAGCACGACTCACGACTATCTTCTCACTTATCGGATCGAACAACTGATAGGTCTTTGATGTTTCATCATAACCGATGAACACATACTTCTTACCCTTATCTTCAAGCTTAGTCCTATGTTAAGACGAAACTACTCCACACACCAAACTTCGGAACACTTTGAAAGGAGATATAGTCGGTTTTTTACCACTCCATACCTCTTGTGGTGTTGCACCATCCAGCTTTACATGCGAGCACCTATTCTTCACCTAGATAGCGCACTGTACCGTCTCAGCCCAAAATACTTTTGGCATGTTCTTAGACTTCAACATAGCTCGAACCATGTTAAGAACCGTTAGGTTCTTCCTCTCGGTCACACTATTTTGTTGTGGTGAGTACAGGGCTATTAGGAATCTCCTTATTCTCTTTAAATGTTTTGAGTGTGTTGGCCAACAACCTTTCCGTGATCTCTAGTTCTTCATAGTCATCCTCTACCACATCCCAACAATCTTGGGCTGTGAAGAGAACCTTCATCTGGACACTCCATCTATCATAAGTGAGGTCCTTCGTCAGTCAGGGCACAAGTGCAATAGCATTCGTTAGATTAGCTATCTCACTCAAATGCTCAACACTAAAACCAAAGCTCTTGATACCAATTTGATAACAATGTCTTTCTAGAAACTGAATATTATAGAATCTTTGTTATGTATAAAACTGAACTACATTTGTGTATTTAAACACTCCCAGGAACTCTATGTTACACCAAATATTTACTCCTTACAAACCAAAGATCTCATAATAATAATGCTCTCTAATTACCTTACTTCCTAAACGTTAAAGAACCTTCCTAATTCCCAAAACTATTAGGAGAAACATTCTCACACCAATCATTAATTTTATCCTAACATGGTATACCAAAGTTCGCAAAAGTCTATTATCTGGAACTTAAATAATCAATTTCAAATGTATTCATTTTTTGTGTTTTTCCTTGTTAGTATCCATGTTCAAGTTTAATTTTCTAAGTTACAGCAACTACTGCATATCTTATTTTCTTAGATTACTTAAACTTCATACATAGTGTAACATGATGGAAAGGTGTAATGTGAAAATTCATGTCAGAACATTCAATCACATTTATCATTGTCTCCTCATGTACTCTTTGTAATTCTTGATATCTTTATTTTATTCATAATCAATTTATAAGTCTGAGACACATGTTTAATGGACCAGTATATGTCTACCTACTGTATGATAAATATACATTGCATACCTTTATAATCTTGATCCTTGGTCTCTTAGATGATTTAGCCATCGCCTTCAGTTTTCCTTGTTCTTTTGTATGGTCACTTTCCTGTCAAAATAAAAGCAACTGAGTAGTAGGCATCACAAATAATTTAAAGGAGAAATCATACAATGGCAAGTATTTATCAAAGAAATTCATGTTTGGTGTAGTAACATTTCCATAGATAGTATATAGATAATACAATATACATATATGTTAACATATTTATCCAATAGAAATTTTACAGTGCTGCTAGCTGGTTTATTCAATTTGTTTCCCGTTTATCTTAGGCATTCATTCAGAACATTAGCTTCCTTTCCTAATATAGAAAAGGTAACCTTAAAGCTACCATGCGACATAAAACTCAGAAAAGTTTAGTACCACCTTTTCAAGTTGAGGATTAGCGGCAGATGCATTGGGGTCTATATGCAAATTCTGATTCGGATCAGTTGAGCTTGCTTCAAAATTATCTGTTTCAACATTGTATTTTCATCATCAGCATTACTATTTTCAGTACTATCACATTCATGGCATCTCCACTGATCAAATCTCAGGTCATCAAACATGAATCTTCTTTTATATCAATTCACAAATTGTTTAACATTGAACATACCAGTTCTAGGCATCATCCTAGTTTGCTGCTGCTTAGGTGAAGGAATATCCTGCAGCTGAAAGTACCAAATATTATAAGCATTTTGAGCTATACTGCTGAAAACATTAGCATTTTTTAATATCTTATTCAATTACTGGTGTTTATGAGTTATAAATATAAATGGTGACAAAATAGATATTACATTGAAAAAACAAGTTTATCTCAAATCAAAAATTAAATCATGAATCGCCAAGCTAATTTTTGAATGTATAATTTATATCAAATTCTAATATTAAAATACAATGAAAAATAACTTAAAAATATACCATGTAGAAAATATACTGTGGTGTTCAATGTAATAGTTTTAAACTAGAAATTAGATGAAACAACTTAATCAAATTGTCATCTCATGTACTCTTTGTAATTCTTGATATCTTTATTTTGTTTATAACCAATTTAGAAGTTCGAGACAACATCTTAACATGCCATGCCAGTATATATTTAGTATACCTTTGTGGTCTTCAGGCTTGAGATCTCAGATGATGTCTGCTCTGACTTCCTTTTTCTTTGTTCTTTTGCATTGTTACTTTCCTGTCAACGTAAATGCAGTTCAACAGGAAATAGTAGACATCACTAAGAATTAAATGGAGCAACTGTAATAATACATTTACTTTCTGAAAAGTATTATCAAAGAAATTCACTTTCACTTATTCTTCTTGCAAATATGTATATGTACCTTTGTTGATCCACCATCTTTCTTATCATCATGGACTACAACAGTTGTTTCCTTGCTATCACTAGTCACACTGTGCACAAACAATTTGCAAATTACGGTTGGAAAAATGTGATGGTGATATTCACAAGCAGAACAAACGTACCTCCTTGTTAATCCTCCCATGTTGGTTTCTTGGATTGAAGGACTTCCTTCATTTTCTTTTGCTTTGGGAGTTAAGTTGCTTGTAGAGCTTCTGTTCGATTGGTTCTCTAAATGCGTTTTGTTTTCAGCAGAAGTCCTTTGCATTGTATTCGCAGAAGCTAATAGAGAGTTCTGACCAATCTGCAAAAGCAGTTGTATAATATGCCTTTGTAAATATACAAACACATTCATCATGCAGAATCATATGTTAAATCCATTAACAATTGTTAACTACACCCCAACCGCACACTCCATAACAGAATATGTATATTCCATAAAATCTGAAGCTGGCCAGTTCAATTTAATTGAAATCATGGAAGAAAAAAAGAAGTAAGAAACTAAATAAACTTATTAAATGGCTGAGGAATTTGAGTTACCCATGTTGGCATCATAGGATAATTGGAGAACGACCTACTTTGATACAGAGATCCATATTGCATTGGTCTATTCCACATCTGGATCAAACAAGAGATAACATGAAAACAAGATACGTGAGCAGTCCCTTCTTCATAATCAAAGCACACAATCAACTATAATATGCATGAATATGTATATCACTACCTGGCTTCCGAACCAGCAGGAGTAAAAGTGAGGACTAGCTGGAGGTAAACTGGGAGTTGGAGTGGACCCAAAATTATGAAAAGCGGAAGCCTAGTTAAAAATGATGAGAGTGAGTTCTTTGTTTCCAATAAGAATAAGTATACAATGTCTCAAAAAATAAAACACTGATACCTGACCAGAACTAGACCAAGGAGTTAGGGGTCTGGGAAGGTTTGGTGTTTCCTGTCAGAAAAACAAAATTTGGTTAAAACACGAGAACATATATCAGGGTCTAAGAAGATTGCAGAAAGTAAAAACTATCATGTTTACTTACATTCTTGGGGGAAGTACTTTTGTCATCAGGCTTGGCAACTGTCTTGTTTTTGTCCTCCATGATGATCAGGAATGAACTCAGTACCTGATTTAATGAAAAAACTGCTTTTAGATCAAATGCCCCTTGAACAAGAGATAAATAGCAGAAAGAAACAAAAGCCGAGGAAAGAAATAGGTGAACATTTATCTGAAACTATGGCTTGCTTTGAATACATACATTTTTTGAGAACAAAATCATTGGTTTTATTTGCATTTGTTCTCTTGGTAAAAGTTTTAGGATTAAGCTGATTAGTAAAAAAATTTCATAGATCCCATCACTGAAACAAAGAGACTAAATAGAAGTGATCAAAAATTAAAATTGAGTAATTTGTGTTCTGAAGATTTGAAATCATAAATTTCAAAGTGAAACCATGTAAATACAAAATTTAAGATGAAAAGGAGATCTTTCAACATTCTAAGCCGATCCCGTTAGAAGTAAGGCCACAAGAAAAACCTTGAACAATAAAAAATTTCAGCAAAGACAAAAACATAGCTTACACAGTTTAAGATGAAAAGGAAAAGATATCTTTCAACATCCTAAGCCGCCATTAGAAGTATTAAAAACTAAAACCAGAAATTCAGTTTACACAATTGGCTTTGAGTAATTTTTATCCTTTTAGTCCATCTGCTATGAGAAGCTGAAGACACAAATGATAACACAAAAACTAACATCTAGAATATTGAAGATAATAAAACACAGAAAACCAAGTTCATGTTGTTTCTGAGACAAGTTTAGACCAAGGCAATAAACATGTCCTCTGTCTGCATCAAAATTGAGAGAGAGGAAAAGAAGGAGAAACCTGAGTATGTGGCGCCAAACAAAGTGCTTATGAAACTTTATGAAGTTGTCTATTGAATATGCATGCGTTTTCCTATATACATTAATATTTAAGCTTAAATTAATCAATACATTTAATACATTACATTATTTTATAAAAAACTCTTTCTATGTTTGTAAAGATTCATATGCATATTTTGCTTTTCACCAAAGGGTATGAACATTCATACTTAAGGAAAGAAATAATTTATTTCCTATATGAAATTTTTGAACTGTATGAGTATAAAGAAATTTGAAAACCTTGCTGAATTCGTAATTTGATATTGTATTTTCAAATTTGCACTGATTACTTTTACGTTGAAATTATTTTAACAGGAAAATATATTTTTTATAACATAATTAAAATATTTTGCTTAGTTTTTATATAATATTCATTATTTCGTTTAATTGTTAATAATCACAATTATAAAAGTATTAAGTTTTATGTTAGGTAAACTATTAGATGTAATGTGTATGATTTTAATTATAAGAAAATTTTGTTTTATGGAATATGATGACTAATTGCAAGATATATATTAACAAAGTTAAGGTTGCAAAGTAGTTTTTCAATGAATTTTTAGGAATATGTAATAAATTGCTTTAAAATATCACTTATTAATTCGTATAACACAAAACTAATTAAATGGTGATTTAAAATTTAATAGAATATTAATAACATATATACATCAAATATATATATATATATATATATATATATATATATATATATTAAACATAAATGTTTATAAAAAAACATATTTTATTTATTAAAATAAAAATAGAATAATATAGATAGGTGGATCAGTTACAATAGAGCGTCCATGTTCACAGAACAAGTCAAACGAGAAGAAAAATACAATTAAATATTTTTTAAAATTCAAATTCATTCTTAATCTAATAACAGCAACAAAAACTCATCAGAATAAATTTTTTTCCAATACTAATAAATAAACATTAAATGAAATTCTTTTATTACAATAAACATTAAGTATTTAATAAGCATTAAATGTTTTATCTTATTTTTATTACATTCTGACACATATTTATTGATTTAATGATTTATTTAATTTTTTTGTCAATTTCATAATATAATGACGGTTAAATGAAATAAAAAAAACGTTTCATATTAATAATTTAAATCATTAGACATATGAGAACACTTCATCAGTTGTTTGATGTCTTAAAAAATATATATATTTTATATATAAAATATAGATTTATTATATTACATCATTTTTTTAAGTATTTTATGATTAATTTTATTTTAATAAATTTAAAAAAATGCATTTTTTCTTTTTTTTCTATATTTTTTTTATTTTAAATAATTTATCATATTACATAAAAAAATTAAATAAAAAATTGTTTAAAATAATTAATATTTTACTTAAGCATTTGATACTTTTTTAAATAATATATTTTTATTTCATTAAAAAATTTATTCTTAATCAAATATTATTTTAACAATTTAAACTGTTTATTTTTCTAATAAATTCTTTTTACTTTTTAATTACATAAAATCATGAATATCTAATGAAAAGAAAAACAAGTATTTAGGAAAAGATAAGTATGATTTTACTTGCGTAAAACTAAAAGTTGTTACAAATTAATAATTTAAATGCATAAAGAAAATTTATAAAAAAATATTTTAATTGTGAAAATCATAGTTTAGACTTATCATAAATTATTTAAATTTTGGTATAAAAAATAAATTATTAATTATTTTTAAAAATATAACATTTTTTTTAATAAAAAATATAATATGATACAAAATATTAGAGGTAAAAAAAAGTCTAAAAAGATAAAATATAATAATAATCTAATGAATCCTATGAGTAATATATTTAAAAGAAATTACTTAAATATAATCTTTATCAATTTATTTATCCAATACCTCTTTATTGTTTATATATAAATTTTTTTCCTCTTCACATCTTTTTTTCTTGTTCACTCCTTATTTTTCTCTTCCCTAATATAGCTCTCTTATATTTCTTTTTCCTTTCCTACTTATTCTCGTAATTAAATCAATATATTAAAATTTAATAAAAATATTTTTAAAAAATATTTCAAAATAAACATTAAAATTAAAAGATATTAATTAATTATTTAAAATTATGATTACAATAAATAATTTTATTTATTTTGATAATACATAAATTTATTTTTTATAACATAAATAATTATTTTAAAATTATTTTATCATAATAATAATTATTCATCTAATTAAAAAATATTAAATATTTATGAGTTAAATGTATTTTTTACTTAATAATATAATATAGTTATAATTAAATTGAGTTATGATAATTAGTTAAATTAGATAATTTAAAAAATTATTTATTACAAAATTATTTCAAAATAAATATTTAATTTTTTTCTTAATAATTATAACAAAATAATAATATTTATAACCTTTCAACTTTATCCTATAATATTTTCTAAAAAAAAAGAAAAATAAACATTAAAATAGAGAAAAAGAAGAAAATAAATAAGGAAAGAGAGAAAATTAATTATTGTGTTATATTAGAAGAATTTATTTTTACATTTTATGTATAAATAATAAATATGTCTAGGTAAATAAATTTAGAGAGATTTTATTTAAATAATTTATTTATTATTTATGGAATTGATTAAAAACGCTTTTCTTAAAAAAAAATAACCTTAACAATTATATTATTTAATATATTGAGAGAGAGGATATGCTTAAAAGAAATTATGAGCTTTTAAAATTCAAATTCATTCTTGATGAAAAGAAAATAATCATTATCATAATACTTTTCTAAACGTTAAGCATTAAATACATTTTTCTTAATCTTTAAGGAAATGTTCTTCTAGAAAAAGTGTAAAATCATGTATGAAAATAAATGAAAAATACATATATATTCGATAACAAAGAAATTAATAAAATAATATGTTATTTCTGTATCATATATATTTATATAATTCTATAATAAAATATATTATATAATTATATATCAAAATATATATTATTAAAAAATAGATCTCAATTAAAAAAATAATTTAAAAAAGTATTTCATTAATAAAATATAATTGAAATAATATAGATAATTTTATAATTAAATAAATATTTTTTTTTAATTTTATTATTTATTAAAATAAATACTTTGTTTTTTATATTATTTTTCTTTCAAATGATTAAAACTATTTTTTGTTTTTTTTTTCAAATCGTTTGAAATCTTTTTTAGAAATATAAAATAAATTACTTCAGCTATGCAACTTTGACTCCAGATAATTTTTTACCCTATACAATTTTTCTACCCTTATCACCTTGAACGAAAAATAATACATGGCACATAAAAATAATTGAACGAAAATTTTGACAGTTCTTCTGTTATTTATTAAAATTTGTCTGAGATGTGATCACTTCACTATTATTTTGTTATCATTTTTTTTTTATGAATCACACTATTTTCCATGAAATTAATACTTTTATTCATTTAATATTAGTTTAAGTTTGAATTTAAAGTAAATGTAAACTACAATTCTTAGCACATATTCAAATAATCTTCAACAACAAATTTATGTGTCCATAACTTTAATGGGCATAATCTTAATAATTAATTATTAAGTAATCTTATACTACCACTTATTTATGGTAATCTTTACTTAAATGGTAATTAAACATCATTAATTATTTTATTTTAAAATTTAAAATTTAAATATATCACTTAGAATTATGACCATGGGGATAACTTGTTGAAATAAGAGTTTTAGATATTATTTGGTTTACCCCTAACTTATCTGTTTTAATAAAATAAGGATTTTATACATGAAATTTAAAAATCATATTTTTATTGACATTAATTTAGTGGTAATATATTTCCATAGGTAAGACTTTTGAGTTCCTTAATAGTTTTAATATATTTCTATAATCTATTTTTTTTAATCTTATTTTAATTTTTTCATAATATATTTATATTTTTTATTCTTTTCTTCCTAATCCACTTAAAGATTTATGTTAGAAATTAACAAATTTTTAATTCCAATATTAATATATTATTTTTTAATAATAATGTAATTTAGTATTCCCAAACATTATTGAATTTATTCTATGATCAGATTTTGAGCTGTATTTTTTGAAAAAAAAATATTTGGAATTTTTTTTTCTTTATTTCAGGTAAACCGTTGTGAATAATTGACATCACGAAATTGATTTTTATATTAAAAAAATGTTTTATTTGATAATA